AAAAATATTACTACTTATTTAAATAACTTTTGATCCAGATGGTCAATTGTTTCTACTTTTTTTGTATTATTATTGAATGAAATTTAGAATAGTCTGTAATTTTTTCAAGTAATTCTTAACATATTGCATTTGCCTTACAACCTCCTTAAGATACTTTTATTGTAATTTATAATGAAACCCAAAGATTCTAAAAGATTGATAGAAACTTCTATATTTTTTACACACGCCTGTCACGACGATCCAATGATAAGTATATCATCCAGATAAATTACTGAAGTAAAATCTTTATCACGCAGATAACCTATTACTGGTCTCATGATCTTCGTAAAGACATGAGGTTTAATCCAAAAGGTAAGCATGTAAATTCGAAACATTGACCTTAAAAAATAAATCTTAAGTATTTTGAAGAGGTTTTATCTACCGATATAAGAAAATAGGCATTTTCTAAATCTAATTTTGCCAAAAAATTTTCTCTAAAGCTTTGCCACAGTACGATAGTCTCCTAATTTAAAATACTTTGTTATAATAAACTTATTTAACTTTTTAAGATTTAAAATAAATCTAAAAGTTCCATCGGTTTTCGGGACTAGAAAGTATGATGATATAAACCGGGAACTTTCCCAAGTACAATGCCTAACCGCCTCTAACAACAAAAAATTATCAATCGCTTTTTTGATATTCTCCAGAGTCTGAGAACCCTGCAATAGTGGTGTTTCTGGTAAAAAGGTTTGGTTAGGCTGCGACTCGAAACGGATTGAATAACTTTTAATACAATTTTGAACAAACTTGCCCTTGGTGATTAACTGCCATTTTTCTTGAAAAAATCTTAGTCGTCCAGCCACGTTGCTCACCTTTAGCGTCTGTAGTGGCTCGATTTCGTCGCCTTCTTGTCGTTCCAAGATAAATTCTTCTGGCAATCCTTGTACTGGAGAGACCTTTGGAACCTGTTTATTTTTGAGCCTGCTGCTGGTAGTCCCTAGATTTTCTTGGCAGGCTCTTCCGGTTTCCCTGATTTTGCATCCTCAGCGATTTTTTAGTTGTTGGTGTGGAATGAGTTCTTCCACAATTTTCCCCAGGCACTTCATATGTTTTAGGCGTTTAAATAGATTTTCGCCAAAAAGATCGGATGTTATATCCGATTTTTTCAATAAGTCTGTATTTTTCATCAGTGCCCGGGATAATGAAGGCTCCTCTCATTGTCGAATTTTGATAATGTAATCCTGCCATTAACTTCCCGGCATTTCTCAAATTTTGTAGTAATTTACTAGAAATTTCGCCTTCTTCTAGCTCTAGGATTAGGGAAATGCTCTTGGTCACTGCTAACATCGCTGAGCCTAACGCATTTTGTGCTGTGGTAAAATGTTTATCCCTGTTTTTTGCCGTTCCCGACATATAGGCCATAATGTCAGGGTTAAGTTTTGGTGCCTCGACAAACAAGGCTTCCTTCCTAGGGAATTTTTTTATAATCAGCTCGCATTGTTTTCCTCTTCCTCCCGCTTCTTTTTGTCCTTTTCGTCCCCTTCATAAAGGCCTTTGTATATCCAATTTGTCTATTCCTCGACTAAAGTTGAATGTAGGGCGACATCAGCCAAGTCTGTCGGTTCTGCTCTCAAGCAGAGACTTTCTCGAGTCTCCTTGCTGAGGCTCGGCGCATCTTCATCTTTCTCGACATTATCGTTCATAACCTCCTCTGGTTTCTTATCTTTTCTTACTTCTTCATCAGTATTCGAAGCATCGTCTGACGAAGAAACGTCTGATCTCTCCTTAGATTCGTTTCCGAGTTTTTCTCGGTCAGGTCTCTGACCGCAACATTTAAACATGTCGACTCGAATGAGTATATTATTTCGCCAAGAGCGATTTCTTGTTCTCCCTCGAGTGGAGGTTTGTAGCACATCTTCCCTCAAGTGAAAACTCATGCTTCGATATTAATGTGCGATTTGTCCTTCCTCTAGTGAAGGCTCATCTCCATTTGCTTGCGAATATCCATATTATTTTTACTCACCATTTTCTTTCTCCTCGGCCTGTGTCTGTATTTCTATGACAGCAGGAGGCTTATAGCGTTTTTTCTTGGGATATACTGGGTGCAGTCTCACACCGCACCAGTTGCGTGTAAACGCTACACTCAGCTACAAGTGCCTGCTACATTACACTAGAGTGGTGCACACCATGGTGTACACTGTACCATTATTATACTAAAACTCTGTTCCCGCTTGACTTTTATTTTCAAATTTTAAATGTCACACTGGTTCTACACGGTTTCTTCGAGACGGTGTAGCAAAATCCCACTTCGTGCATAAAATTTGCACTACACCGTAGCCACGGAAACACGGTACACCGAATGAGTTCGCTTACCACCAGCCATGGAAACACGGTACACTGTCTGAGTGTTGCACTAGTGGGCGATAGTGCAGCCAAGAGAAAACGCTATTAATCACTTCCTCGGCCGCTGTTCTCCGTAATCTTTTCAATTTTTTCCGCATGCATCTCATATGTTCGTTCAATGCCTCTAATTCCGCATCCTTCGCACTTCTTTTTGACATTATAGCTTTTTCTAACCACAGTATCTATAAGTTGTAACTCCTTCGAGAACAGAAAACGTTATGAAGCATGAAAGCATAGAGCATGATAGGGAAGAGAAAGAAAAATAGTTACTCTAAAGCTTGTGGCGCCACGAGGGGGAGAAGACGGTACTACATTGTCAATCGTCGAGAACGAGACCTGAAATATAATATCAAATTATAATCGTCATTCAAATATTTACGAATTAAGTATCATTATTGTTATAAATAAGAAACGTTTATTCGAAACATATATTTGTAAGAATAGGAGTCGATTAAGATAAAACAGGAATGACACACGGTAGATGGATAAGTCTTTATTCTCGTCACCAACGCGTTCACACACAACAGAGAGTTCTTATATTATCCATTACTTAGCCCGTATAGGCTCGTTGACTCGCCAGGAGGTCGCTAGTAATCCGAGATGGTCACGCCACCTGAACACTTAAGCTAACGCTATCATTGGCACCGCGCCGAACTAGCTTTACGGGCGTGTGCAGGTCGTTCTCTTTCAGCTCGGCCAGCCTGAAGTGACACTCGTCCCTGAGTGTCCTTATAATCCAAAACTGAATAAGCTACATAACACTTTTAACGTAAACTTAAAATTATTTTCTTTGTGACGATAAAAGTAAAAAAAAATAAAATATCAATTATAGTATATGATTGTAAGATATGTAATCACGAAAAATATTGCCGCACTTAAAATTAACGCACATATTATAATGGTATGATATAACGGTGGTATAGTAGCATATACATATAGAGATATAGTAAAGAGAGTAACAAAATCTTATATTTGTGTATTAGTCTTTGGGTATCGGAATCCATGGTTTAATCCGACCGGAAGATAAAATTCCGTGATAATGCTTTTGGGTTAATTGGCAACCAGGAATGTCTTGTACGATATAACGATAGTTGTCCAACACTTTTTCGATTTTGTCCTTTATATGGGAGACGTAATTTCTTATCCTGACCGATTTTCGAAACTGTATTTTTGATCATAATGTAATCGCCAACATTGTATTTTGTGGGAGTTTTATGTAAATCATAGTAAAACTTATTATATGCCTTAATACAGTCTGATGCTTGCAGGGCAATCTCTCGATCCTCGTTACGTGAATCTTTATGATCTCGAATTTTCATGGAATCCTTATGTAAATTAGTTAAGAATTGTGTTAATTTGGAATCAGAATGATTCTTCATGTCATATCCAAGTAATAGCTTGGAGGGAATACCCTTGATAGAAGTATGATAAGTGTTGTTTATGATGTACTGTAAATCTTTAATTTTATTAGACCAAGTAATTTGATCATCGATCATTTTTTTGAGCGATGCTTTAAGGAAACGGTTGATTCGCTCTACAAGACCATTCGCCCACGGGGCAGCGACAGCTATGCGGTGGTCGATATAGCATTCCCCCTCAGGAAATTCGCAAATTCAAATGAGGAGAACGCGGTTCCTCTATCTACACTAAAATGGACGGATTTCCGAATGTATTAAATACTGACTCCAGTCTGGAGATTGTTTCTTTGGAACTAGTTGTTTTGACCGGGAACAACCACGTGAAGCGTGTGAATGCATCTACGAGTAATAAAATATGTTTATAAGAAGTATTCGATTCGATTAAAGGACCAAAATGGTCCGTGTGGAGAGTATCCGTAGGCTTTTTTGGGGTAAGCTCGCAATGACTTTCCCCTTCTTTGGAATGTACTGATGAGTTTGTTAATAGACACGTGGGACAATTATCTATGTGTTGGTTGACTCTTTTACGCACCGACGGGAACCAATAATTCGTATAAATTCCTTGGACGGTTTTTTCTGGTCCGCAATGGGCGCATTGGTCGTGGTAGACCCGAATTATGTTAGGTACCATCCACTCCGGTACTACGAAACGGAGTTTTTTGTCTTTACATCTTCTATAAACTAAACCTTCTACAAGAACATAATCCTCACGTTCTAAATTTTCATGCGAGGAAGCAATATCGCGTAGCCGGGGATCAGCGTGTTGTTTACACTGCAATTCAACATTCAGAGGTATAGTCTCTAGTGCAGTAACTGCTCTACTTAATGCATCTACGTGACACATTTTTTCGGCTTTCCGGTGTATCATTTTAAAACGATAATTTTGGAGTTTTAACTGCCAACGAGCAATACGAGGGTCCGCTCTGGATGATGCTAGAACCAACGCGTTACAATCGGTAATGATTGTGAATTCTAAACCATAGATGTAAATATGAAATCTCTCTACGGCGCGAACCACGGCCAACATCTTCAATTCGAATGAATGGTATCGACTTTCAGCTGCATAGCAGTAGTGGCTGTAATACGCTACAGGAGCAAGATTTCCACTGGTCTGTTTTTGAAACAAGATAGCTGCCAACGCGATAGTACTTGCATCTGTGTGTAATTCGGTCTATGCCCCCGGATTATAATGGCACAATACTGGTTTCGAGATTAATGCAGATTTTAAAACATTGAACGCATTAAAACAATTGTTCAATCAAAATTATACGGGGTTGACTTCTTAAGTAAAGCGTAAAGTGGTTTTGCTATCACGGCTAAGTTCCTTATAAATTTTCTAAAATAGTTCACTAAGCCTAGGAATCTTTGTAATTCTCGCGTATTACCTGGAAAATCCTTTACGACAGTGAGATGTCTATCGCTTAGCATAACGCCATCCTTATCTACAATGTAACCCAGATACTCTATCCGTTTTTTAAAAAGTTGACACTTCGCAAAATTGATTTCGAATGAGTGATCTTGCAACAACTGCAAAATCTGCTTAAAAATTTGAAGATTTTCCTCGATGGAGTCGGTATGTATTAAAATGTCGTCTATATAAATCAACACTTTTCCTTCTCGAATCAGAGGCTGTAGGATATTGATAATTCAGCGTTAAAACTCGGCTGGTGATTCGCAAAAGCCAAAGGGTAACCTTTTGTACTCAAATTGTCCACTAGGCGTGGCAAATGAAAAGAATTTAGTATATTCAGGGTGTATTTTAATGGCGTGAAAACTTTCGCATAAACCTAAGACAGTTAATACTTTTTTGTTAGCCAATTGAGCCATCAGATCCTCGATAATTGGAAACGAGAAGTGTTGTTTTATTACTTTAGCGTTGAGCGGACGTAAGTCGACGCAAAGAGTCTAAACTTTCCGTTTTTCTTTTTGACTAAAACAACGCGAGAACGGGGATGTAGAATCCTGTATAATATCTCTAACACGTAAATCTTCAACGAGTTTATCTATCTCCTGGCGCTCAGTCCAAGCGAAACGTCTGGCGAGATACGCAAATGATACGTCATCTTTTAATTTAACTTTAACATAATAATCCTCATTAGGTGTTTCTACTGGTTTACTCTGGATTTCTGAAATGATTTTACGGGCTTGTTCGTCAACAAAGTTGAAGTCAGAATTGATTTCCACTGGAGCAATGATAAACGGGTCTTCGACCATAATGTCGGCTGAAGCGATTTCTTTAATTAGCTCTAGCCGCTCTTTATTCGTTGCTCTAGATAGACTGTAAATTAAAGAAAGGTTATTTCTTTCCAAAAAATCTCTACCGAAAATAACATGAATAGGCCAAGTAGCCTTATTAATAATGTGAAAGATCGTTTTGTACTGAGGACTGAGGAGACATAGACAAACTGAAATCGAGTTCTTTTGTATCAATAATATTGATTACCGATTCACTTAACGTTTAAAAATGCGGAGCATTTGGTTTGTCAAACTTGGAATCTTAACCAAAGATTAATTTGTAATCCGTTTCTTGTAAGAATGAGACGGGACTGCCTGTGTCTATTAACGCGATTAAACTACATGTGCGGCCGTTGATTTTGTCAACTTCTACCGTGGTACTACTTATGGCCAAAGCACATGAAGACTCCACACAGCCAACTGATTGGGAGACTTCCTCCGCTGGCGTAGGCGTATTGACTTCTCTGGATGTAGTCACCGATGCAACTTAGGACGCCGTCGACGAAGAGGCCGTAGAAGATTGCTCCTTTCTCTTGAGCTTGAGACACTCGGTTTTGAAATGTCCCTGGGGCTTACAATATGCGCAAACGATGTCCTTGTTCTTCGGCGATGTCGGTGGTGAACTTTTGGTGTGTGTAGAATCGGAACGGTCTTTTGTCTCCCTTGTGAATTTCTGATTGTTTTTTTGAATTGGGGGCGGCGAACGTCTCGCCCCCGAGCAGACACTCGTGAGGTACCTCATCTGATCGAAGAAGTCGTCAATGGTATCAGCCTTGAGAGTCGCGGCTGATGCACGGATTGCAAAGTTGTTTATACCTGTTACCAGGAATTGGATATTCCATGTCTGGAAGGTGTAACGGAAGGTGTAATAGTTTTAATTTGGCTATTGCGTAGGCTTGGAATGATTCCTTATCGGAATTCCAACGTCTGGCCTCGATTTTCTGCATAGTTTCCATGAAGGGGATACGTCGACGGAAACGACGTGTGATGGCTTCCTTAAAAGACTGCCATGAATTGAGTATGTATCCGGGGTCCAAGTCGAACCATTCTCAAGCCACTTTCTGTAACTTCTGCGAAGCAACCATAATTAAAATTTTCTCACCTATTTCATATAGTCTAGCGGTGAATTCAACCTTCTTCAACCAAGATTCAATGTCGTCATCTTTGCCACCCGAGAATATGGGTAGCTGTGCGATAAGTAGAGTAACCATTTGTGCCGGTGAGACAGTCTGGAAACCTTGAGCGGTTGACGCCGTTGAAGCACTTTGTGTATATACTAGGTGCGCAACTAAGTTTCCGGGTTTCACACATGGATGGCGCTAACGCCACATGTAGTCGACATACATGTCTAAAGTTGTATTTTTTTTATAGCTTGGATATCTGTCAACAATAACCAGTCATAATACCAACACATATCGCAACGCAAAAATATTTTTTCTAACAATGAAGATGTGGAGTTTTGTGCCAAATAAACAGCATTTGCGGGAAACTTTGCTTTTCAGCTTTAACTTAAAAACAAATGCAGCTGAAGCACGTCGTTTGCTTGACGAGGCATACGGCGAACATACACCATCGAAAACTATCTGTGAAAATTGGTTTAAACGCTTCAGAAGTGACGATTTCGACACTGAGGACAAGGAGCGCTCCGGAAGACCAAAAACAATTGAAGATGCCTATCTGCAAGCGTTATTGGATGAAGATGACGCAAACACAAGATCAACTTGCGGAGGCATTAAACATGACTCGCCAAGGTATTTCCAAACGTTTACATGCCATAAGAAAAATTCAAAAGGAAGGAAAATGGGTACCGCATGAGTTGACTGAGAGACAGATGGAAAATCGAAGAGCCACTTCCGAAATTTTGCTTTTGCGGCATGAAAGAAAGAGTTTCCGGTATCGAATTGTTACTGGAGATGAGAAGTGAATATATTTCGAAAATCCCAAACGCAAACAATCGTGGCTTTCACCTGGCGAAGCATCAACATCGACGGCACGGCCAAATCGCTTCGGACAGAAGACAATGCTCTGCATTTGGTGGGACCAGAAAGAAACCGTGTACTATGAGTTGCTGAAACCGGGCGAAACTGTCAAAGGGCATCGCTACCGACAACAACTGATCAATTTGAACCATGCATTGCTCGAAAAATGGCCAGAATGGGACACGAGACACGAACGAGTGATATTGTAGCACGACAACGCTCCGTGCCATCGCACTTTCATCGTCCAAGACACCATCAAAACGCTGAAATGGGATCTGCTACTGCACCCGCCGTATTCACCAGACCTGGCCCCTTCCGATTATCACTTGTTACGGTCGATGGCGCATGGCTTGGCTGGGCTACACTTGGCCAATTTGGAAGAAGTGCAAAATTGGTTGGACGAATGGTTTCGGTCCAAAGAGGCGTCGTTTTATCGTCGCGGTATTCATGTATTGCCAGAGAGATGGCAAAAATGTGTAGCTAGCGAGGGACGATACTTTGAATAGACCATTTTTTGTATTTCTCTTGAAATTTTCCATTTTTCATTGATCAAAAAAACTCGGAAACTTAGTTGCGTACTTAGTAAAAGTTCTGCTGGGCTTGATATATCGGAGGTAACTCCCAGGCTGGAAGACCTCTCCCGGATGGATCATCAGGCGATGTGTGTACTTCAACCGTCAGGTAATTCATGTGTGACGACTGCGGTGTGATTGGTGTATTTACGGGAAGGTTTGGCGTCATCGCCATTTGTGGAGCCATGAACGGACCGTGAGCAGTGATGCACATTTGGCTCCCCGGCAACACGGAATCCAGCCCCACCACTTGTACCCCCACCAAGCAGACACCTACCGGCATCGAGTCGGCCGTCTTCGCCGCGAGAGCGAGCGAGACAGCGAGAGGCAGCGCCCGTCTTTCTCGCTCTACCAGTAACTCGTAAACACAAGCGAGTATTAGAGCTCTCATACTCGCTTGTGTTTACGAGTTACTGGTAAAGCGAGAAGGACAGGCGCTGCCTCTCGCTGTCTCGCTCGCTCTCGCGGCGAAGACGGCCGACTCGATGCCGGTAGGTGTCTGCTTGGTGGGGGTACAAGTGGTGGGGCTGGATTCCGTGTTGCCGGGGGGCCAAATGTGCATCACTGACTGTGAGCCGAAGCCGGTGGGGCGGCTTCCATTTTATTTTCCTTTTCTTCTAGTCTTCTCATAAGGAGATCAACTTTTTCCTCCAATGAGAGTTCCTTGATAGTATTGTATATAGAGCTGGACGCTACCTGGGCAGGCACGGTTTGAGTCTGTGTGACACGAAGAGGAGTGGTAGAGCCGCCAACAACCACATCATCCGAATTCTTTTGTCTCGACGGGTTTTTGTTCCTTTCGTAGAACACTGTAAGGCGCTCAATACACGCACGTATATTATCAGGGAGTAAGATCCCCGCTTTCATGAGCTCATTACGGAGCTCATCGGGTCAACATCATTAAGTATTTTTTTTAACGTCGCTCAAACTGACGGTTAGAGGATCAACTCGCGTGGGAAAGCTAAAGCGCGACGTATGCAACAGTAATGGGTATGGCACTGCCCGTATTACTGATTAACGAACTCGGCACTTGTGAGCCGAAGAAGCGTTACCAAGAACGCGGTGTCGACTCGTATGAACCGATAACGGCGATGGACCGACTAACACAACCGAAAACGGCGTGACTACTAAAAAAATGGCGGAAGGCACGGAAATTTTATGAACACGACGACGAGAAAGTGAACGGTACTGACGAGCGGAAAAGATCCGTAAGGAAAACAACAGGGAAGGATGGGGAGGAATCCCACTTCTGAGCTGTAAGAATAGGAGTCAGTTAAGGTAAAACAGGAATGACACACGGTAGATGGATAAGTCTTTATTCTCGTCACCAACGCGTTCACACACGACAGAGAGAGTTCTTATATTATCCATTACTTAACCCGTATAGGCGCACTGACTCGCCAGGAGGTCGCTAGTAATCCGAGATGGTCACGCCACCTGAACACCTAAGCTAACGCCGTCATTGGCACCGCACCGAACTAGCTTTACCGACGGACGTGTGCAGATCATTTTCTTTCATATTGTTATTATTTTATATTAATTCTGAGTTATCTAAATTTGTATAAAAGAATATTTTTTACTTCTCCTGAATGGTATCTGAAATTATTTTTTTTTGTATTATTGTTATATATAAAATGTTTATATACATACATAAATGTACATACATACATACATAAATGGCTATATGCATTGCGACCGTACTCACGAGAGTGGCACAAAATCTTCGTCATGCATTTGTGATCTCCACTATTTATTGTCTCTCAAATCTGCTGTACTCTCCACTCAAAGTCGGTAATTTTAATTGCTTTTACAATCTGCGATTACTCGTGCTCTAAACATCGGATTTTTGGGCGCCAGACACGAGAGAGCGTGCCACTCTTTCGCTAGTTTGCAAAATTCTATGGAAACTCAAAATTCTCGATCACGAATACGGATGACCCGAATAGCCGACTGCTCAGCCACGAGATTGGTAGAGGGGGTGATTCGTGACCGGGAACGGAGGGATTCCTGGAAAACGAGCAGGGCGATACGCAATAAAATAGATAACTTTTGTAATAGAAAAGAGTTTACAAATATATTCGGTTCTTTCCGACACGATGTCATACACGTTAGATGATAAATAATTGCTCATGCAGTCAGTAAGGCGAACAAGGGGGCGGAATCGCCCTTGTAAGCAGCGTACTCGACTCACGGTATTAGCAGCGAGAAATTCTTCTCCACGGGGCGAGCTCTAAGCTTCTCACTACTCAACAACTCGTAGATGGTATAACGACGGAAAATCTCCGGATTGCAGCAATCGCGGGGCGCTTGGCCTTGTCTAACGCGTGCGCAACTTCGATCTTGAGCTCGGCCCGCGAAGAAATCTCCGCCCCGTCGTAGATGAACGGGATCACAGCTCGGATACGAATTTTATTTATAATTTCAGACTTTCGAGGCGATACGACAAGGTACAACACACGACGAACGATACAATACGAAATGACGAGAATAGTGTCCGGAATCTCGCGTGATTCCGGCGCTCAAGCGCGACAGGAAATTTTCCTTAATTCTACACATGAAATGACCTGGCTGTGGCCGCAGCGGGCGTGTTGAATACGCGATTGAAATACTCGCGGTCCACGTATCGAACGGGATGGCACGATCACGCGTAGCACGTCGACAATGGCGGACAGCTTCTGACAATAAGCTCAACGAAACAAATGTCAATTAATTATTGCGGATTCGTGCGATCCCGCTGATGAGAAATCGGCGGCTTCACAATACCGTACTGCGCCGTCTCGCCAAGGGTTCTCCTTGCGGCTCTCTCTCGATATCCTCTCTAACGTCCTTACTCGAAGCTCACCACAGCATAAGTGCCGGCCCGGGGTCCTTCCGGGAGCGCGCAGGTATCGCAGGCCCACGTGATTAGCCTCATCGTTCCTGGTTGGTCGCGAGCCTTCTCGTGGGTCCTATACGTCCTCGCTAGTCGCTGTTGCGTCGCGCATCCTGGATTCGGCGCGCGGGATTTAACTGCTGGTGGGCATTAATCGGCGGCTGCTCGCAGGATCTTCCCCTTTCTCATCTGGGTCCTAAGACCTTCCGAATGCCAAAGCAATCAATTTCCCCCGGCGTGCGGTTTCCTTTTCCGCGACGGGGCGTCATTGTTCGGTAGGGTACTCCTTGTGGCGCCAACAGCGGGGCCCCCATGCCTGATGGGCGGCAAGGGGTTGCGTCTTCCCTTCATGCCGCGTCTTTCTCTGTTACGGGGCTATCTCCTGTAAAGAATCCGGTACGAGGATCATGCTCGTAATAAAATAGTTTATTAAAATCAAGGAGCTTTTCACCTGCGCGTTCTCCTTTCGCGGCCTCGTTCCTCTTCGGGTCTCCGATCTTCTCTCTCGACGTCCGCGGGGCTGGTGAGACGTAGCTTCAGATTGACATAGTTTTTTGTAGCCGCCGATGATACAAAAACGCTAGAAAAATGCTTAACAAAAAAATAAAGAATCGGCGAAACGCAATCGCTAAGTCGCCCGTGATCGCGATAAGCGCTGGCACGCCTGTCCTCCGCGATGGGAGGACACAGGACAAAAATGCCGTGCTAATTCCGATCGGGTCAAACGACCCTTGTCATGGACGGTACAAACATCACGTCATAGCATACATATATAAATGTCTATATACATTTTTTCTCGTATCCTTAACCTGTAGTTTTTATTTAAAAACAAAGCAAAATTTGTTTTTTTAATTATTTTTTAATTCTTAATATTTTTCTAATATGTCGAACAGCGATTGTACAAAGAAAAAAAACATATATAGACATTTTATATTTACATAATGTAAAAGAATTTCAAACTACGTAAAAATTTTTTTTCTAATTATTTTTTTAATTATCTTATTTTTTTCTATTACATATTTACATATGAACCAAAATTATACAAGAGAAAGAAAATGCGTCTTTCATATATGATACCCTTTATTATTTTTCCTCATATCATTTATTGCTCAAAGACGTTCAACTATTGCCCAGCGCGTTCAACTATTGCCCCCGAGCAGCTGGCAGTTGGGTGCTCCTGCTTTAATGAACTCCGTTTTAGGCAAACTGATATTGTTGTCTATAGTTAACCACCTTTGTTCTATACTTTTGATAACCAAGTCGGAACGTTAGTAAAGATTGACACGTCAAGTGAAACAAGTATATGGTCATGTGGCAACTTGGTGTGAGATATATTTTTTATCAGTTGAAAGCTATTTTTCACATAACCGTACGGTTTATCAAGATATGAGTCCAAAATGTTATGTAAGAATAAAGCTAAATTATGCAACAGACTGCCTATGGATGATATTATAACGAGTAACGAATTGGCTTTGTAAATTTTCGGTACCGCATTTGCTGGTGATTGACATATATATAATGTTTGATTACACACATACAACAGCGTTGGCATTATAAACCTTTATTGCTTTAATCATTGAAGCCTTATTTCAAATTTCATTTGTTATAAAATTGGTAATTATGTAAAATAGGGGAACACTTTTCGATGACCTTGACTTTGACATATGTGGTAAAATTGTATATGAGCAATTTTTTTACATTTTACCAAACTTGTTTTTTTTTAACGAATAATGCAAAAACTATCCCTGTAATTATTTTTTTGTTTTCACATGACTATTATTATTTCTACTACACTAAAAAGTAATTTTATGGAAGAAAGAGGGATATATGAACATCTATGGATGCATTTCCTATACATATGTATAATTATACATGTTTATGAATATTATACGTTATGTATATTTATACATATTTATACATATTCATGCATGAAAAGTTTTATACCGGGATATACTTTAATGATTTTATCCAATCCTGAATGTAATACACGTTGTAAGTTAAGCCAGCAGCACGCGATGCTTGTTTTTTTGCTGGATTGCTAGCTAGAATAAATTCTGGCTATTGTATTGGCTATGATGCTGACACTGTCAGTACCACAGCCAATATGGTGGCAAGATTCTAATCCAGCTAAGAATCCAGCAGGAAAACAAGCATCGTGTACCGCAGGCTTTACATTGTTCAGTGTGAAGCTATAATCACAGTATATACAGTAGCGCAACTCTCAGTTGGCACCTTTGATGTCACCGTGGATAAAAATGAACTGCACATGCGCAAGCGAGGTATGTAACCAATCAAGGCACTGACATTCCATCTCACTTCTTCTCTCGGTTGTAACCTTTTCTCTTTTTCTACTTTATTGTACAAGGTCTGTTCTTTTTCCACTGTAAATTCTGAACTGGTGTACACTGATGCAATAAGAGAGAGTTCAGAACTTTCGGAAAATAACAGACCTACACAATATACATTATATTTGAAACAGAAAATAAAATAGAAATGAAACATGATATACATTTATTTATCAGGAAATATAAGGAGATTTGTATTTATAACTTAACCTTTTTTTATTTGCAATGATAGTCAGAGTTACAAAATATAAACGCAATAAGAGAACTAATAATAATATAGCAATCCGTTTTATTTTAACTGATCGATATTATTTAACTTCCAATTTGAAATATTCTTCCTTTACTGTTAAAAAATTCTGATAAACACTTTATTATTTCTCACGTATCACTTTATTATTTCTCATATAATATATACTACTCCTGTCACTTTCCATTAAATGATCATTTAAATTCCTTATATGGACATTTTAACGGTGCAGTCAGATAGCGACAATAAAGAGAAGAAGCGTGATGGAATATCAGTGCCCTGATTGGTTGCATACCTCGCTCGCACATGTGCAGTTCATTTTTATCCACGGTGAAATCGTGAGAGTTGTGCTACTGTATATACTGTGCTATAATATTGATTAGATATGTTACTGCAGGGTTTATCCTTGTTGTTCACTGAATATTGAACAAGGATAAAAGATAATAATAATAATAATAATAATAAAATAAATTAATAACTTATAAGTTTCAAATTCCTTTAATCACAACAATTAAGACAAAATTTCGTACAAAAGGCTATAGGAGTCAACCTCTGGTTGTTAAAATTTCGAGAAAATATTACATTAACAATACCATATAATTTCGTACGTTTCGACTCCTATTTGAATCATCTTCAGCAATACAACATTGATAAGTACAACAATAAATGAATCGCAGTCAAAATTTTCATATTCTCTATTTCCAATTTTCTCGAAATTTTAATAACCAGAGGTTGACTTCTATAGCCTTTTGTCAGGGTTGGGTAAGTTACTTTTTTCTTTTAACTAAGTTAAGTTGAAGTTAACAACCTTGAAAATTTAATTTAGTTAAGATACAAGTTAATGTATAATGAAATTAATTCAATTAAAAGTTAAGTTAATAAAAAAAAGTAATTGAAAAATTAAAAGTTAAATTTTTTTCTATTTTATGATTTCAGAGTCTTACAAATAACGGAAATGACAAACATATACTTCATTTAGAATATACTTTATATTTTATTTAAACTTTTTGTTTATATATGTACTGTTATATATATATAGATTTCTACCTATCAAAAACTAGATACATTAAAATATACGGTTTTTGCTAGATTGAAATCAATACATAATGTAAATAATGTATACAAACAAAACTTTTAAGTAAAATATAGAGTATGTTCTAAATGAAGTATATGTTTGAGTCTGAGACTTTAACTTCAACAAATTTAAATAAAAAGTTAATAGTTATCGATAAAATGTAACTAAATAAAGTTAAAAAGTTAAGAGTCTAAAATGTAACTAAGTTAAGTTAAAATTATTTAACTTTTCAACTTTTTAACTTAACTTTTAGCTTTTTAACTTGGCACTACCCAACCCTGCCTTTTGTACGAATTTTTGTCTTAATTAAGGTTAAAAGATGCTCGAAGTTAACAGAATCAGGTTTTGGAACGCACCCTTGTACTGTTGTGTGTCACTGTTGATCCTAACAAGTGTCTTACGTAATATCCGCATGTAACGGTGATCGCATCATTTCTGCTTACCTTCTGTATTTAGCTCGTGATATGCTATTTTTTGGGACTTAAAAATTAAAACAAATTTTTGTTAAACCAAAAATCGTCTCAGAATACTGTCAAGAATGTATCTCTTGAAGGACATAAAGTTATTTTGAATTATCTTGTACATCTCCTAAATAGAGATTGTAACGTAATTGTAAAAAAAGAAGTTTTTAAAATTATATTTAGGAAAGTTAATAATCATAATATGTTAAATATACTGTTATAGCAATATATCATTCATATATAAAAAATTATTTTAAAAATTCGTTTTTCAGTATAAAACAAATTTGGCAATATAGATTTCGAAATATGTTCTTGATTCCTGATGTTGTATTTAATCGCACATCTTTGGGATATAAACAGCAAGAGTGTTTAAATATCTTTCATTCAACCGTTGAAAAGGTATACATATTTATTAATATTCTTAATTATTTTCTTTATTAATACTGTACAATTTTTATTAATTCATAGATGATACAGCAAAGGACAAATGAATCAAGTACAATGTCCACTAATGGTGACACATCATGTAAGTCTGTCGATATTTTATCTGATTCTTTTGTCCTATACAATAATATTGCAATACTTTTAAAATTACTTGTAAAATATATTATTTTAAAAATTATAATTTAAAAAATAATACTTTTTATCTTTTATTTTACGATTGATTTATTTTCTACTGTTAAAATAATACTTATTTATTTATTTTTACATGAATTTTTTTTATATATATACATATATATACTAATTTTATTTATTTTAATATAAACTTTTAACAAACAATAAATTTAATCAAACAGGGTAAATGAGAATACAATGCGGTTAATAAAGTGTAAATATATAATAGTAAAAAAGTTGTCTTCGTTTATCATGTATGATGACATCAACTAATAATTGGTTTAGATTTGAACGTTTTTATTCCTTTGAAGTCCTCCTCAGTAATTAAATATAAGAAACGTCAAAATTCATCTTTACTTCGTCAAAATTAAGTCATAAAACAGGTTGGTAGGTATAACTAAATCCGATTGTGGCACCAATTCAATTAGATTAAGAACACGTCTAAAGAAGTTTAGATAACATTTCTTAAATTCTTCTAGTAATTTCGCATAACAATGTAATGCACAAAAACCAGGGTTAGGCAGTGTTAAGTTAAAAAGATAAAATTTAAGTTAAAAAGTTAATTTTAACTTAACTTACAATTAGTTACATTTTAAAGTCTTAACTTTTTAACTTAATTTACAAGGGAACCTTGCGAGGTATCAAATTCTGATTTTAATGAAACTTTGTAAACTTATACCTTACATAAAGAGACAAATTAAAAAAATATCAGATGGGGCGGAAAAACGGTTTAAAGGGGTGAAATCAACCCTTACATGTACAGTGATTTTTAGTTTTTTCCGTTATATCTCGAAAACTATCCGAGATATCAAAAAATGTTTTACACAAAAGTTTTACAACAAAATTAGCTGCAATAAAACAAAATATAATCAGAAGAGCTATAAGCTAAAACAAAGCAAATTTTAATGTACAGATGACATTAAGTAAAATAAAAGTAAAAACAAAATAAAAATATGTCTACATCAAACTAAAAATATCTTTACATCAAACTAACGTTTCGACCATCTTTGGGTTATTTTCAAAGTTATAAACAAGTATGTATATGAAAGCAGTTGATTGCAATAGATTAACATAGATCACTAATTATAGAAGTACAACGAAAATTATTAAAAATAGACCTTTGTTGTTCATGCCCTTTTTTTTGTTGACGCAGGGGAATGCTCATGCATACCCCGCCTCCCGGGGAAAAGGCGGGGTTATGTGGGACTCCTCCGAGAATGAACCTCGGAGACTTACCCACTAAACCCCTGCGAGCGTCCGTCCTCAGGTGCGAGTCGGGGTGGGCCAGGATCTTCGCATCTGCAGTACTACCGGCCCGCCTCGGCACCATGTGCGCCACCGCTAGCGCACTTTAGCCTTTACGCGACGAGGGGGGACGCCACCTCCTCTCGCCGCCATTCCCGTCGGGAGCTTGTCTTGCGCGCGGAGGCGGCGAATCCTCCGTTCGCCGCCCCGCGCCCCCTAGGGAGTCCGGATGGACCCGGGGGGGGACCGAGTCCCGGACGTCTACGTCCTCCACTCTCTTCTTTCTCTCTTCTTCGTTGATGACCATCAGGAAGGAGGGGAGAGGGGAGGGCCAGATGGGTGGGGGGCCGTCGCCCCCAACCCCGCCATCCCCCCCGGTATCTCACGCGGGCCCTCCCCGCCTGGCGCGTTCCGCCTCCTCCTTCGCCCTCATCACCTCCCCGATGATGGCCTGTCGGTGCTGCTTATTCAGCATCGCTTTCACAATCGCGAACAGTGAAAGGTCCGCCGACGATCCCCACAAGGGCCGATCTTTGCGACGTCCATGCCGGGCACTCTCGCAGCGTGTGCGCGGCCTTGTCGACCGTCGCCGCGCAGTGCCAGCACCGGTCAGTAGCCTCTCTGCCAATGCGACGCAGGTAACGGCCAAAGCAGCCGTGGCCCGTCAACATCTGCGCCGTATGGAAGGAAACCCCCGGTCTCCTCTCCATCCACTCCTCGACTCTCGGTCGGATGGCGTCGATCAGCTCTCTTCCGCTGTGCTCTGCGCTCATCATCCATTCTCTCCACTTAGTAACCATTCTTTTGGAGGCCTTTCATCGTATACGATTACTCGCCTCCGCGGGGATCACTACCGATCCGCTTTGCGCTTTCAGCGCCGTCAACCCCTCGAATACTTCGGCGCACATTCCCGCCAGGATCTCAAAGGGCGGCTTGCCCGCAAGCGCCGTGTTCGCGGCAAACGAAGAGGTCCTGTAAGGTTTAATAGCTCGATCCGTGAGTCTTCTCTGGGAGGCACGGAAGATACTTCGTATCCTCCTGTTGCTCTCCGCCTCCCGGTGCCACACAGGGACTCCGTAGAGCGCTACCGAGGCGACGACATTAGCGTACAGTCGCCGCACTTTGTCTCCAGGCCCTCCCAGATTCTGCAGCAGACCGGATAGTCCCGCCGCCATTCGCTCCAGTTTTGGCGCGATGTCTCGAAAATGCGGCTCAAAAGTCCACCGCGAATCAAACGTCAGATCCAGATATTTGAGCTGGGAGCCAACCGGGATCTCCCGCCCCTCCACTCGTACGCCTATGTTCACGGGTCGGCCTCTACGATGGAAGCCAATCACCTCGGTCTTTTCCGGGGCGATGTTCAGGCCCATCTCCCGGATTCTCGCCACCACGTCGCAGATCGCCTCGCTAGTTTTAACGACCGCCTACTCCCAGTCCCCGCCGGCCGCCAGGATCATCGTATCGTCTGCGTAACAGACGGTAGTCCGGCAGTCCGACGGAAGGTCGGATCGACGTAGGACCTCGTCATATTCTATGTTCCACAGGAGTGGACCAAGTACCGACCCCTGTGGAACCCATCTCTCGACCCGTTGTCTCGTTATGGCTCCATCCCCCGTCGAATACACGAGGTATTTTTCAGAGAGGTCCGAGCGTACGATCCTCCGTAAATATCTCGAGGTTCAATGATCCACCATCGCACGACAACACGAGGTATTTTTCAGAGAGGTACGAGCGTACGATCCTCCGTAAATATCTCGAGGTTCGATGATCCGCCATCGCATGGCCAATTTCCCACGGCAGGGAATTGAATGCATTCTTTATGTCGAGAGATACGCCTATTATCGCCATATCAGCTTGAGTAGCCTCCTCTACGAAGCGCCTTACGTATAAGATAGCATCTATCGTGCTTCGGCCCCTACGAAACTCAAACTGGGTGTCGCACAGATTGGGTCCCGGTCCATCCATACTGCGCACGACGCGATCCGCCACTATCCTCTCAAAGAGTTTGGCCTCGTCGTCGAGGAGACAGATCAGCCTATACCCCGTCCGACTATCCGCCGGCTTTCCGGGTTTCCTGAGGAGTACTAATTTCGCCTCTTTCCATTTCGCGGGGAAGACGCCCATCCTCAGGCTCTCGGTAAAGATTCCCCTTACCCTAGGGGCTATCTCCACCGCCGCAATTGCCCACGCCTTAACGGAAATTCCGCTAGGCCCCGGCGCAGCCTTTCGCTGCATCATCCTCGTTTTCGCTTCCTCCACGGAGACCTAATATTCCTCCCCCCATGCGCTGCCCCCCGCTGCTGGTAGCGGCGGTTTCTCCCACCTATTCCCTGCCGCCCTCGGCGGGGGAGGGAAAACCGTTTCCATCACTTCACGGAGGAGCGTGGCGTCCATCGTCTCCGTAGCCGGGGGTGACCATCGCCTTAGTTTTCCCATTGCCAGTTTATATGGTCTACTCCACGGTTCCTCTTCGAGAGTGAGCATAAATTCTTTCTAAGAGTACTCCTTGGCCCGAGCTATGGCGGATCTCAGGGCCGCTCGCGCCTCCCGGTGCTCAGCCAGGTGCCACATTATCTCCTCCTGGTCCTCGTGTCTTCTGCGAGCTCTTTTTAACCTCCGTCTCGCTCGGGGTGATCCCGATTGATCACGGCTCGATTGGACACCACCAATCACAGCGACCGGTGCTTAGGAGCTTTGTATTCTCAAGCTGTGTGAGTGGCTCGTGTCCAATTGAGCCGTGTCCAACTGGGTGCCACCCGTCTCATTCTTGTGACGCCGTCGCGGAGATGCACAATCTCCTCCATCCACCACGGCATGGCCCGTCTCGCACGCGGTGAGGATCTGAGCATCGCAGCGTCGCACGGACCATCGTGTCCCGGAGTTTCCTGGCCTCTTCGTCAACTATCCTTCCGGCCGGCGGGGGTATACCTCACGTTCCCGCTATTATCGCCGCCGTTAACATATCCTCGTTGAGGCTGTGAAGCACCCATCTTTGCGGCTGAGGCCGCTCGCGTTTTCTTAACTGTGCCGCAGTGTCCCCCATCGTGATCAGTATATAAACGTGGTCAGAGAGGGTTTCTTCCTGGAGCACTCTCCACTCTCCTATTTTTGCCGCCGCCAGGGGGTTCGTAAAGGTGATGTCTACGATAGATTCCCCCTGTGGCCTTACACAAGTGCTGGCATTAATGCAACACAGTCTGTTAATTATTGCCCATCTCTCCACCACTCCGCCCCTGGGGTTTGTGGTTATGGCTCCCCACATGGCTGATTTCGCATTGAAATCCTTGGCCACTATGATGGGACTGGCGTGATGTTCCCGAATGAGATCTATCATCTCATCCAAGCCTTCATCCACGGTTTCCCTATCAACGCTTGAGGATATATATACCCCTATTATGATGGTTTCACCCCATCTAACGGCCGTATCAGCTTTCTCAGTGCTCAGCGGGGTGCATGGCAGTGGGTCATCGCTTTGTCGCCAGACTATGGCCACCGTACCAGCAACGTTTACCGTCCAATGCGAATGATTCGTGGGGACTCGGTAGGGTTCCGCCACTATCGCAATTCCAGACTCCGCCATGGCCTGCAGGAGGAGGTCTTGGGCCCGGCGGGCATGGTTGGCGTTCGTCTGTAGAATTATGTTTGGCATTTTGTAGTACCTGTTTT